AAAAAAAAAAAGAAAAAATAGATAAAATGGGATTATAAGGCCTCAATAATAGGGTTTTTGTGAGACTAAAATGATACTGCATGTGAAGCATATGTACTATAACGGCTGCTGGTACAGAGAAACTGCTCAGTACATGTTAGCTACTACTATAATAATGATTTTAGTTTATGTTTTAAGCAGGTGTACATGTAAGCAAAAATTAAGTAGGAGTAAATTATAAATGAACACTTGCCTCTGAAACTGACAGGCCAATCCTCAGAAGTTCTTCAGCTAATTCCAGGAGAGCTCCAGCAAATACCAGAACAAAGTTTGTGCCATCTCCAACTTCTTGCTCTTGCATATGAGAAGCCATTACAATCATTTTTGCAGCAGGATGCTGTACCTAGTAGGAAAGGTAATATCAAGTTAAACATCTGATTCTTAAAGCAACATAAAATTGTTCACTTCCATTTCTTAGACTCCAATTTTCCTGTAGATTAGGTAACTCTATTTGATCACACCGCTATACGCTACTTATAGTGTGGTCACAAGAAAAAATCCAAGTCCCTTTATGCCGATCAGCACAAATGTATCACTATAAATAAGAATTTCAAAGTGCATCCTCTTTTGATGGCCTGTACATACAGTGCCACACATATGGTTCAGCATATCATTATATCTCACTAAATTAAAAAACAAAGTAATTACAACCACCAAACCTAAATATTTTTTTAAAATCCTTCAGGAGAACTAAAATAGATACCACTTAACTTGGTCATGAGTCTCAGTATCTATTTTACCATATATTCTTGTTCTAAGGGCTATCATTTGTGATTTAAAGAAAGGGGGGAGTATAAAAGTTTTCTTAAAATGTAACATAATTTTACGTGGATTTTATTCTTAAGATTTAATTTTAGATACCTTTATAGAAACAAGCCAAGGAGTAAGAACTGAAAGCAGGGAGTAAACTATAAAAGTCAGCCCTGTGATTTTATTATTTTGACAGTATCACCACTATACTTTAATAACTCCTGATGTTAACTTCTGAGATCATCAGTGTGCAACATTAACATTCACAATGACAAATCCTTGTACAAGTGTTTTGTGGAGTTAAAATTTAACTTTAAACTTAAAAAAAATTATATATATACATATATGTATATATATTTTTAAGTTGGAGTCTTGCTCTGTTGCCCAGACTGGAGTGCAGTGGCGTGATCTTGGCTCATTGCAACCTTGGCCTCCCAGGTTCAAGCGATTCTTCAGCCCCAGCCTCCTGAGTAGCTGGAATTACAGGTGTGCACCACCACGCCCGGCTAATTTTTTTTTCTGTATTTTTAATAGAGATGGGGTTTCACCATGTTGTCCAGGCTAGTCTAGAACCCCTGACCTCAGGCGATCCGCCTGCCTCGACCTCCCAAAGTGGTGGGATTACAGGCGTGAGCCACCGCGTCCAGCCAAAAATATTTTAAGAGGTTAGAGAAATGCTGATTCTTCTATAGTTTCATTTAAAACAAAAGATTAAGTTCTAGCGCTTTCAAGGGCTAAGCTGCAGGAAAATTCCCTGAGGCTGAATATGTTATCCTTTAATTACAAGGCGGGAATGAGGAATGGCTCTCTCTGCCTGTTCAGGTGCCAGATCTTCCTTACAACCCTGCTGGCAGGCAGTATCTATTTTATAGACTCTAATAGCAAAACTGGAGCTGAACAAAGTAGATTGCCATAAACCGACCGTTTTTATTTTCATAAAACCAAGTGGTTGGATCTTTTTAAAAACCACTGTTTTATGTATACGTTTTTGCATTGTGGAATAATTCACTTCAGAGTCACTCTATCGAATGAAGATAATGGTAATCTATTTCATATCCCAATTAGCAATGTATCACAACCAATCCCTCCACAAATTAATAACTTAAGAAATTTTTAAGATTTCAGTGGTTACAATGTTCAATCTAAAGAGGACTCTCTGTAATTAGAACAACCTGTATAATAAATTTTCAAGTTGGAAAAACAGTCCCTTATCCAATCTAAGAGATTTCTTCTAGTTAAAGTCTACTTAATTTTGATGTCACCAAAATATTTCTTGACTTTTAAAGAAACAACTTACTTCTAGTTCTCTTAAAATAGTCGCTGCATCATTTGTCACAAACAACTTCTCCAAGTGGTTGATAACCATTTTGTTCATTCCTCAAAAGTAACAGTTAAAAAAAGAAAAAGAAAGCCATTATTAATCAAATCCTTACCCAAATACCCACGAAAATCTAGTAAAAAAATATAAATTTGTATATTTAAAAAATAGCTTTGTAAGAAAACACATACTATCTATTCTTCAAGTTTATCTTATAGCCCCATGGGCATTCTCTGACTGCAGACCCATATTCTTTCTTTCCTTTTTAATGTCCTACAATATTTACTACGTAACATGCCAAATCTCACATTTTTGCCAATTTCTGTCTTCTCTTGCAACATGATTGTCATGCAACAAGTGCTCAACAGATATTAATATGTAAAAAGGCCAAAATAACCTATTTAGTATATTTAGTTGTATGTTTATTCCATGAAACTGTATCAATTAAATTTAATTGGCGGTAGAAGGCAAGAAGGAGGAGGGAATTTTCTTCCTTAAACTATGTCACTTTTATATTCAGTGTCACAATGAACATTAGGTACTATCTTACTAGTCAAAGTGTTATAATTTTTCTACCCTCTCAACAGGATAAAAAGTAATATATTGATCCCTATTTTTCTAGAGATCTGAGTTGATTGAAAATTAGAAATAACTAAAAACTTGAACTATTAATTGAGCTATCAAATTAACTTCCAAAGCCATACTATAACATCCTCAGAACAAGTTTGAAAGAAGAGGTAGTACACAAAATTCTACTACTGTATCTTTACAAATATTAATTTAGAAATTACCATTTGGTCCATATGCTGTACGAGTGGTTTGGGCAAGCTCCTTGCAAGCTTGTATATTTCTATACACAGCCTCTTCTAATCCTGAAAAGTGCTGTTAAAACAAACAAACAAAAAACCCCGCTAATTAGACAGGACAGTGAAACAAGAATTTTCACACAGAAGATATCTTCGCTTATATCTTGCTTCTAATAAAGAGGGAGCATAGCTGAGGTATTCGGCACAAGAGGGCTGGTTACAAATCTTAGCTTTCTGGCTCTTTTTTTAATTTGGGCAATTTTCTTAATATTTCTTCATTATAAAATGAGGTAATTATAATAGTACCTACCTCATAGGATTGTTGAGACAATCAAACAAGATTTATGTAAAACACAGCATTTGATATTCATAAATGATGCATACATTTCCTCTCTAGCTGAATGAATAAAAGTATAACATTTTGGGGGACTGCAGGTACCTACTTACACATCAAATCGTAAGACTTATAATTTTTTTATTAAAAGTAGTGAAAAGTACAGGGAACCATGCTAAGGCTAATTAGAGAATGGGAATGAGGTACTTCAAGTCGAATACCTTTCCAGAGTTTATCGGTATTTTCTAATGTTGAAATGTGGAATATTTTTCTCATTGTGTTAGAATCTGGGCTTTTGTAAAGCCAGAAGTTCTTTAAGTATGTGCCACTGAAGTGTTTAGGGACTGAAGTACACAGACTGTTGAATACTTTTTTTGAATTGCAACATTATCCCAATGTATATGTATTGAAAAAGTGAACTGTTCACAGTAGTAAAAACTCTCATAAATTCCACACTAGATTTTTTAGAGTTGAGGTTTACTTGGGTCCTCAGATATATTTCACTAATCTACAGTGCATGAGAACATTTCTTTAGAGCTGTGCTGCCCAATACAGTAGCCACTAGCTACATGGGGCTAGTGAAAGCAATTAAAATAAATTTTCAAGTAATTAAAATTTAAAAATTCAGTTCCTCAATTGCAGGAGCCACACACAGTTCAAATGCCCAGTAGCTACATGTGGCTTGTGACTATCACATTGGACAGGCTGATACAGCGTATGTCCAACACTGCAAAAAGTTCTATTACACAGTACTGCTTTACAATACAAGCCATGATTTTGTGATCCAAAACCAAGGTTAATAGCTGTTACATTTTTTTGAGAGAGAGAGAGTCTCTATCGCTCAGGCTGGAGTGCGGTGGCACGATCTCAGCTCACTGCAACCTGGGCCTCCCAGTTCAAGCAATTCTGGAGGCTCAGCCTCCTGAGAAGCTGGGACTAGAGGCGCGCGCCACCACACGAGGCTAAGTTTTTTTGTATTTTACCCCTGCCAATAGCCACTACTCTAAAAGCATCTTCAGCAATAAGAACTGTATTCCAGCAATAACACTTAAGTCTGAACTCCTGGCTTCCACTCTTCCTTCTTCCCCTCACTCCCCATTCTGTGAGAAACTACCATCTGATCAGATCCCATCATTCCCATACTTAAGACCTTCAAGGCCGGGCGCGGTGGCTCACGCCTGTAATCCCAGCACTTTGGGAGGCCTGGGCGAGCGGATCACGAGGTCAGGAGTTTGAGACCAGGCTGGCCAACATAGTGAACCCTTGTCTCTACTAAAAATACACAAAAAATTAGCCGGGCGTGCGCCTGTAATCCCAGCTACTCCGGAGGCTGAGGCAGGAGAATCGCGTGAACCTGGCAGGCGGAGGGTGGAGAGAGTGCCACTGCATCCCAGCCTGGGCGACAGAACGCAACCTCGTCTCAAAAAAAAAAAAAAAAAAAAAAAAAAAAACCCCACAAACAACAAAAAAACCCCTTCAATAGTTTCCCATCCCGCTTAGGATAAAATGCAAATCCCTCTTCAGGGAAACAAGGCCCTACATATCCTGGCCCGTGTCTCCTTGTATAGCTCCTCCTCTAAATTTACCATTTTCTTTTCTTTGGTAAGCTTCAGCCCTATAACCTGTTTTCTGTTTTTTGTTTTTTTTTTTTGAAGAAGAAGAAAAAAAACAGGTTCAAATCATTCCTTCCTCAGGGTCTTTGTACTAGTTAAGTACACCTAAATAAGAGGTGGGGGGAAACAGCCCAGGCTCAGGGGCTTCTCTCACTAAGCACGGAGCTAAGAGTTCTTCCCGAAATATCTAAGTGTTCTGTCTATTCCTGATCCTTCTTTTAGAGACATTTTAACCTCCTGTCATCCTCTACTATAGTACAGTTTCTTTCATCATTATTTGGAATTCTCCTTTTATCTAATCATTATATCTGCCTTAGAAGCACATAAACTCTACGAGAAGTGGGACTTGTGTCTTTCACTGCAGTTCCTTCAGTACCTATTTATTGAATGAAATAGCTCAGTGTTCTGTAAAAATCTACTAGCATTGGAAATACAAATAATGTTTTGTGATACACGAGTTTTCCAAAACTGTATTAGTGAAAAAAACCCAAATTGGAAGCTAATATCTCAGCCTGATTTTTTTAAGGAAATCAGCCCATATTATTTTCAAAAGATGATGCCACCAACATTTACATTAAACCCTGACATTTACTTACTATAATGACATTATTTGAAAAGTGCATTCTACAAACATGAACCTAGTTCTATTAAACTGTTAATGCTCCCTGTACCTCGCATAACCTTAAATTCGACCACACTGATCTATTTCTTGAATTAACAAAATCTGGAGGACATACAGAGGAACCCAATTTGAATAGCACAAGAGACAAATATATCAACAGTGCAGTAAGATATTTTTTAAAACTATGCTACTGAAATAACGTTCAAGACAAGGCCATTAAACAAAAGTGTCATCTGTATCACTTATCCTGCAGATTACACGGTCCGAACTCAAAGACACCACCCTCTTGGTCCAATCTCCATAATTTAAAGATCAAGAAAACAAAACCCAAGAGAGTTAGGTTTTAGATTAAGCCAGCTAACATAAGTTGGGACTGAAACTCATCTGGCTACAACGCATGGCTTCTGTCAACCAAGCTGAAAGCCCTGTTTCTCGCTGGGAAGGAAGCAACCACGACCCGGCCCTTTTTCCCACACTCTCTTCTCTGGATCGCCTAGTTCTCCTTCTTCCCCATCCTGTAACTCGCGAGCTATGTGTCAATCGGCGTCGCAGTTCCCAAGACAATTTCATCTACGTTATTCAATTTCACCCTCACAACCCCTTTTAAGCGTGACGGGCCTCAGCCCCATTTATGGATGGAGGCAAAACGCACGCGCGGCTTCACGTCCGTCCACCTTCAAGGTGTACAATGTCGATCGTGCCGCCGACCCCTCAGCCTTCTCCCGGTCGCGGAAGAAGAGAAGTGCCTGCAGGCCCCGGGACACCTGGAAGGCCGAGTCCTTCCAAGATCACCTCCCTTTCTGGAATCTTCTCTTCCCCCGGCCGCTGTGCCAGGGCAGCACGCTCAGCCCGTTAGTAGGCCCTTCTACTTCGCCGCGGCCGCCGCAGCCCTATGCTGACTCTCCCACCTCATTCCTTTCCTTCAGCCCTTACTTTCGCTCCCTCCTTGAGCATCTGGGCAAAGCCCGGAGCCTTGGGAACGTGAAGCGCCATGGCCAGACTGCAGGAAGCCGTTCACGCGACCACTCGGAAAAAAGCGGAGGAAGCAAGGAGCACGCACAGCCTTCTGGGAAAGCAGCGTGCGGCCGTGTCTCGTTCTTCTTCGCTCTCCAGTTAGCCCGCCCTTTCCCCGCCGCCAGAGGTGAAGCATCGCGAGAAGAGCAACTTCTGTGACCAGAACCAAGCTGACGATCCCCGATCGGGTCGATCGATAGGGCGGGCCCAGGGAGCGCCTCGGGTTTCCGGCTCACGCACGCGCAGACGGCCCAAGCCGTGGGCGCTTCTTCCAGTCTGTGCTCCCTGATCGAACTCAGTAGTCGCGGTGTTAGATTTTTGCGGTTTTTGATGTGGAAGGCACACATCCTTAGCTTAATTTCCACGTAATCTTCCAGACCCAGCCACCAACATCAGGGCAGGTGTGTGTGTGTGTGTTTTTTTTCCCCCGAGGCAGAGCATCTGCCCCATCCCCCAAAATTGCCTTTGGGCGTGCGCTGTGTGTTGGGCACCATAGGAAGCGCTGGGAATGCGCATGATAATTAAAGTTGTCACCAAGGGTAGCGTAGCACACATCAAATGCTCACGTGTGCCAGGTTCTGTGTGATCTGCTTTACATGCGCCAGGTTCTGTATGATCCGCTTTCCATGGAGTATCTCTGTTAATGGTCAATCTTAAAAATTAATGAATTGTCGATTAAAATAGCATTTAGTTTTCCTTCTACAAAATGGAGACAATACCATTTGATCTTTAATGGTATTGTTTCCATTTTATGGAAGGGAAACTGAAGTTCACAAACGGTAAATAATTTTCCCAAGATCACAGAGCTAGTAAATATTACAGCTAGAATTCCTACCCAGGTCAGACTGATTGCAAAATGTATACATTTTATATAAATATATCTGATTTATATATACATTTATAGATAAATATAAATCCCTTCGGCTTGGTGGCATGCACCTGTAGTCCCAGCTGCTCAGGAGGCTAAGGTTGGAGGATCTGCTTGAGCCTGGGAGATTGAGGCTGCAGTGAACTGAGATCATGCCACTGCACTCCAGCCTGGGCAACAGAGTGAGGTCCTGTCTCAAAAAAAAAAAATCTTTTTTTGGAAAAATGTAAATGCCACTGATATGGTTTGGATTTGTGTCCCTGCCCAAATATGATGTGGAATTATAATCCCCAGTGTTGGAGGTGTGGCCTGGTGGGAGGTGATTTGATCAAGGGGGCGAACGTCCCCCTTGCTGTTCTTGTGATAGTGAGTGAGTTCTCATGAGACCTGGTTGTTTAAAAGTGTGTGGCACCTCCCTACTCTGTCTCTTCCTCCTCCTCCAGCCTTGTAGGACTTTCCGGCTTCCCCTTCACCTTCCACCTTGATTGTAAGCTTCCCGAGGCTTCCCCAGCCATGCTTCCTGTATCGCCTGTGGAACTGTGAGCCAATTAAACCTGTTTTCTTTATAAATTACCCACTCTCAAGTAGTTCTTTATAGCGATTAGAGAACGGACTAATACAGCCACCTTTTTCATTCTTGGAAAATAGGGATCGTTTTAATAAAATCATACATATTATTGTGTGATAAGGTTATTGTTATTTTTTAAATAATGTTTACAAATTTATCAGTTTTAATTTCTCATACAGCAAATATTGATACCTATAACCCACATAAACCAAAGGCCTTTGGGGAAGTCAATACTTTTTTTAAGAGTCTAAAGGTGTTCTGAGACTGGTACGTTAGAGAACTACTACAATGATCAGGCCCGAACAACAGAACGATCCAAGATTTTTCCCTCGATTAGCTAAGAAATAAATAAAAGCACATTCCTCTGACTCAGAGATAATGTTGCTTATAAAAATAGCTAACACAAAATAAAACTGAAAGGAGCTAAAATGACACCTGATTTTTTTTTTTTTTTTTTTTTTGAGATGGAGTCTTGCTCTGTCGCCCAGGCTGGAGTGCAGTGGCCGGATCTCAGCTCACTGCAAGCTCCGCCTCCCGGATCTCAGCTCACTGCAAGCTCCGCCTCCCAGGTTCACGCCATTCTCCTGCCTCAGCCTCCCGAGTAACTGGGACTACAGCCGCCCGCCACCTCGCCCGGCTAGTTTTTTGTATTTTTTTTAGTAGAGACAGGGTTTCACCGTTTTAGCCAGGATGATCTCGATCTCCTGACCTCGTGATCCGCCCGTCTCGGCCTCCCAAAGTGCTGGGATTACAGGTTTGAGCCACCGCGCCCGGCCTAATGACACCTGATTAATTTTATTAATTAAAAATGGAGGAATCAAATCTTGAGAAAATGTATAACTAGACCATGGAAAATACAACTTGAGGAAAAAACCATTGATGGATCAAATTTTTGTTGAAAATTTATAATAAAAAATTGATCTTTAATTTTAACAAATAGGAAATGGGAAGAATTAAAATCAATTTAAATCTGTATGGTAATTTATCAATGAATGAAATGGACTTAACTGCTAAGAATACTTTCTAGATGAAAATTAGAAACTTTATATAATTTGGGTTAAACTGCATTCATAATGATAGAGTCAAAACAAGGGCCAAATATTCGCTGAGTCCAAAAGGTCAAATATTCCTTGCCCAGAAAAGAAACACAAATATTTAAAGTGACTTCGAGGCCTGGGTTCTGGTCCTTGTTTATCTCAGTGGTATCTTCTCCATTTTGGCATTAATGTCCTGTATTCTGGCCCCAGTACCTGGAATAGTTCATGCTGTCTGATTTACCACTTCTGCCTCAGGGTCTTTACCTCTGCTGTTCTTCCTACCTAAAATGCTCTTCTATTCCCTTTTGGCTGAGTTAATTCTACCTCAGTATGCGGACATTTTCATTAGAAAGTCTTTGATGACTCCCGAGACATTCCCTGTTTGTCATTCTCATAGCTTCTGTGTTTCTCCTTCATAGCACTTAACACAGTTGTAATGACGGAATTACTTGTCTTCTTTCTCCACCAGCAGGTAGATGCTGAATCACCAGCACTTATAGTGTAATTGGACAATGCACAGAGTAAGGATTCAATAAATAGTCGTCAAATGAACTACTGGGTGACCAAATGGGTATCCAGAAGAGGAGATCGAAAAATTGAGGTGCTGTGGTCTCAATGTTTGTGTCACTCCAAAATTCGTATGTTAAAATCCTAAGCCCCGAAATGATGGTATTACATAGGGCCTTTTGGGAGATGATTAGTTCATTAGGTCTCCACCCTTATAAAAGATTAGTGCCCTTATGAAAGATGCCCAAGGGAGCTTAATTTGCCTTTCCACCATGTGATGACACAGCTAGAAGGTGCTATCTATGAACCAGGAAGCAGGCCCTCACCAGTCTCTGTATCTGCTAGCACCTTGATCTTGGACTTCCAGCCTCCAGAACTGTGAGTAACACATTTCTCTTGTTTCTAAGCCACCTAGTTTATGGTATTTTGTTATACCACCCCAAACAGATTAAGACATGGGAGGCATGGTCTGTATTCTTCCCATCCAGACGTATATAAAGTAAAACCAGAGAACAACACAAAGCAATCGAGAGGATTTTTCCTCCAGAGTTTGCAAAAGGCCAAGGAGACTGCAGGTTTCTGTTATATTGATTCAAAAGCCTGAGATCCTCATGTTAGGTGCCGACTGAAAACATGGCCTCCAGCCTCCAGGACAGCTAAAAGCCATGAGGATTGGGGGTTGGGGACGTCTGAGCCATCTTAGGATTCTGATAAGGACTCAGTTCACTGTTTGTTTCTAGTTACTTTGTTTCTATTTTTTTTTTTTCATTTTTTATTTGTTTGCCTTAAAGTTTTCACTCCTGTACATCAGAATTGTTTAACGTTTTTGGCTTGTCTGTGTGTTTTGATTTTTTTGTATTATTATTTAATTTTCCCAACTCCCATTAAATCCTTTTTTTTTTTTTTTTTTTTTTTTTTTTTTTAGACGGAGTCTCGCTCTGTCGCCCAGGCTGGAGTGCGGTGGCCGGATCTCGGCTCACTGCAAGCTCCGCCTCCCGGGTTCACGCCATTCTTCTGCCTCAGCCTCCGGAGTAGCTGGGACTACAGGCGCCCGCCACCACGCCCGGCTAGTTTTTTGTATCTTTTAGTAGAGACGGGGTTTCATCGTGTTAGCCAGGATGGTCTCGATCTCCTGACCTCGTGATCCGCCCGTCTCGGCCTCCCAAAGTGCTGGGATTACAGGCTTGAGCCACCGCGCCCGGCCAACATTTATTAAATAAATTAAATTTAACTGCCCAGACCTGGCAGTTAGAACTGAGTATCAGGAATGGTTTTAAGACAAACTTGAGGAGGAAGGTTGAAGTAGTCACAATATCTAGAAATACAAGAGGGCCTCTTTTCTCAGGCTTATACTTTGAGATAAATTTCCTCTTTTTAGTACATGCAGGGAACATTTCATTTCATAGTTTTGCTGATTGAAAAGGCCAAATTATATAAATTACTTGGAGGAGGTTTTCTGCTATTAAAATTGTTTGTGGTCTGTTAGTATCTGGCCTTCCCAACTTGGTTCTGATGGACCAAAATATAGTATATTTCCCATCTCTCCCTTTGTAAAGAAAGGTAAATTTACTCTTTTTTAAAATTATGAATTCATCAGTTTGCTGGTTATTCGTTTTTTATATTTTAGCCAGTTTCCCACCACAGATTGCAAGTTTGGGCTTCTCAGACCATTGTTCTATGCAAGAGGCAGGCTTTCGGCAGGGTTCTTCCACATCAAATTATTTTTCCTTTCTGTATATTTTGTGCAGAAATCTTTCAATAACAAGATAAGATTGTTTGCAGCTTTTATTGATCTTTACTCAATATTTGATTCTGTGCATAGGAACCAGTTGTAGGCGAGCCTGCCTAAGTACAATATTGAACCCAGTCCTGATTCTTATATAGAATTTGCATCTTAACACTGGTGCAAAGACCTGGGTTTGGAAGAACAGTCTCCTGATAAGTTAAATGATTATTTCAAAATGAATAAAACAGGGATGTTTTGAGTACCTTGTTTCTTTTTGTTTCATAATATAATATTACTTTTGGATGAACTAACTGAATCTGTCCCTCTTTCCACTGAGAGTAAAAAT